ACATGAAAAGAGAATTTTGCTGAAGCCAGAGTTCTGATAGCTACTGGGGTGAAATATTTACTGACAGAAGACAAGACAAAAAACCAAAAACCAACCAACCAACCGAACAAACAAAAAAACAACCACAGAATGCACCTCACATTTACATAAGGATATGAAACAAGGGATTTAAGGGACTTTCAGGTCATTCATGTGAGTCCTCTGCTATTGCAGTCTTCCAGTCTTATGGGTTTTCTTTTCTCCTTTAGAAGATTAGGAAGAGTAAGTAAAAGCAGAAACATCCAAGTTATAAATTTTGAGATACTACCACCTGTCTCTGGAACACAATTCTGCTCTAGGTGACTTCACTGAAAGCTGAGTGCATGAAAGAAAGGTTTTAATCTTTACAAATTCTACTCTAATGTAGGTAGGACATGGCTATTGTAGACAAATATTTTGAAAATAAAGTCATAGCACTGTCTTCCATTAAATAAACCTTTATTTTACAACAGCGACACCCCCTCATTTTTGGCAAACAAATGAGATTGCAAACAGCAGCAAATGAGTGTTCAGTTCTGCTTGATGATTACTCATGTAGAGGGCTCTGGTTTGTCTTGGATGACTCGAGCTCTGGATTCATGTGAGAGCAGGAAAACAGCAAAATCCCTAATAGAGCAAAAGCTATAGCTCCTCTGGATAGCAGCAGCAAGACACACATTGACTGTGTGTCAGGTGATACTTGACAATTTTTGAGGATAAAAAATATTTCTTTAAGTTGTTTAAATAGGATATGTCAGCTCTTTGTATTTTTTGAAACCTTTTTGTTTTTGACATCAGGTACAGAAAAATTCATTTATCTTAGCAACACAGCCTGTGACTGCAAGCCCTGTATTTTGCTTCACATCCATGGCCTGTCTGCTTTCCTCTCTGCTTCTCAGGAAGCTCTTCTTCAAAACATCTACAACACCTGATATCTTTTACCGCACAGGATCTGCTTGCTTAAACACAGATGACAGAGGCATAATCAGCTTTTTGTTTTCCTATTTTTTTTCTACAGAAAACAAAAGCATGATTTAAAGAACTTTTCCTTTGCATTGTGATATGTGTTTTTTAAAAGGAAATGCTTTGAAAATACCATATAAAAGAAGGAAAGAGAATGAATTCTGTTTTTCTCTGATAATCCCTTGTGGTGCCAGGAGCTATGCTAGGAGGTCTGTTTGGTCATTCTGTTTTTACCTTTCATTCAGTCCCATAACTGGCAACGCATGTGGTCAGGACAAGTCTCTACTAACTTGGAAATACAGCAGCTCTTCTTCACAGCCCACAGCAAATTCAGTAAGTCCTGCAAGACCAAGAAGCACAGAAGAATGTTTTGGAGAGCTGTATGATTGTCCCTTAGCATATAGTTTTCTTCTACATATCTCTATATAGGTAACATATCTTACATCTGTTAGAGTATTTCTGTCCTAGAATAGAGTTGCTATTCTTGAAATTAAAAAAAAACACACGACTTCAATCTTAAACTTTAAATATGAGTCAATCATTCTGAAGTCATCAAGGTTACTAATGGATTGTACTCAGTGTGAACAGGGGAAGTAGAGTTAGGAAATTTGCCTTATAAGAATAATGGACCAAAACCTCACCCACATCAATATAAATCAGAACTGACTACAATTAAGTAAGGAGAATGGACTCTGTAAAAATTGCTGTGAGAGGAGAACAGCATCTGCTTTTTATTTACCTTTGGAAAACTAAATGTTTGAAATGGTCAGTTTTGGCTATATATACTCCAACAGGATTTGGGATTGTCAGAATGAATTAAAATCAGTTTTTATTATGCATGGAGTGTTTTTAATGGTGCACTTATTTTCTTAGTGATGTGTGTTCCACCTTATAAAAAATAAAAATTCAGAACATGAAAGTGTTTACTACAAAATGTGTTTTTTTTTTTTCATATATTTTTTTATACATAAATATATATTGTGCAAGCCAGATAAAGACTTGCAAACATTGGTAATGCACCTAGTATGAAAGTTGTTGCTAATATACCATGTAAATTAGTGTTTCTGTCTCTCTCTCTTGACATGGAAAGACAGATATTGCAAGATTTCTAGGGAACAAAGACAGATCACTCAAAAATTCAAACACAGCTTTATGAGATTCTCTGTTCTTGTTGATAAAAGTTTTGTTTCTTCACCATCCAGTCATCTTCTGCTTCACCTCCACTAGGCATCCGTTTACTACAGGAGGTTAAGGAAGGAAAGTTTTTTTCAGAAACAAACTCTCACTAGCTCCCTAGACTCCATTTTGGGTATGCAATGGTTCCCAGAGGATTGAAGTGTGAAGTCAGTGTTCCCTGTGTTTGCCTAGATGAGGAAATTGAGCTGTTCACATCAATTAACTGGTCTTTGTGATGAGGGTGTTAGAAAGAGGGGATAATTTGGTTTGATTTATACTGTACTTTTGAAACATTAATTTATGCTATTCCAGCAGTGTAAATAAATCGCTGTTGAGGTAAATATGTTGGAGTGAATTCTCCCTGCCCATATTTTAAATTTTTATGTTTTTATTTATTTATTTATCAACTAGATACTGAGGGAGATGGAGGTTTCAGCACAGTGTCTCTTTGAGAGCCTCTGGGACCCCTGGCACCCAAAACCCTGGGAGGGATGGTACTGCAGTGGCCCCACTGCCCCTCCATAGGGTGTACCTTGGGTGCATGGTCTCATGAGCAAGATCAGCCATGTGAGGCACCTAGAAGATGCTCTTCAGAGCAGTGTTTAAGTAGATAGTAAGGAAAAAGTAGGACTGTAGTCACAGTCTCTCTACTTTCTCAGTCAGTCAGATCCCAGTGAAGTCAGCAAAAGTTAAAAAGAGCCTTTTCAGGACACTACCAAATCAGTCATTGCTGCCTTTTGCAGTCCACAGCTTCTGAATTGATTTTGCTTGGAAACACTTAGCTTTTTTATGAGGACGTGTTCAGCAAAAAAGTAGGGTGCTAGCTTTGGCTGTGTTAGTCCAAGTGGTGCTTTAGATACTGGGATACTGTTAAGAAATATAAATCTCACTGGGAAGGAGGAATATGTTACCTCCCTGAAACTGTGATAAAGTTGGATCAGAATTCTTGTTAGGTCCATTTCTGGACACTTGTCTGTGCTTTCAGTGACCCTGATCTACTGCAGAGATGCATGTTCTGTTGCAGGTGTAGAGAACTGAGAGATTTGTTGTGGAGACAATAGTTTTCATCACGTTATTATGAACAATGTGCCTCTCAGTATCCCTGTGTCCTGTCCTAAATCTTTTAGGACTACAGGAGGTACCTAGTAGAGATATAGTCCAGGGTCGATGCAGGGTGGACTTTTTTCACTGCTTCCCAATTAATACTAATAATATCCTGTCAGCAGATGTTTCAGAATTTCTGTTTTTCTTTTAGATTTTTCCTACTCCAGTTTTACCTTTGGAATAATTTTTAAAACTATTAACTAGCAAAATTTACATTATTAGCAGGATCAGTGCTGGAAAATAAAAATAAACTGAACATGAAGGAATGAATATCTGCTCCCTCAGTGGTTCTAGCACTTGAAACTTTAAGGATGTGTTATACCACCTGGAGGAGGATATAAGGTGCTTAATGATAGTTATGTATAAAAATCTTCATGGCTGAATGGTATTCACAGCAAATCCATGAACAAAGACTGTTTTGATTCATGTCTAGTTGCAAAACAAAACAAAACAAATTAAAAAAATCACTGAGGAGCAGGTCTTATTTTCTGCCCATCACTTTGCCCCGTTGTTCTACTACACCGAAGACGTTCTTTGGCTGATCTGGCATGGACCAGCAGAACCCAAATGTTATTTTAATATAGTCTTTTTTTTTTGAGGGGAAGGTCCAACAATCCTAATATATAAATATATATATATGTATATATAAACTCACACACAGATCTGAAATCTTTTAACTCTTTTGGGTTGTGATTTAGTTTTCTTTATATACAAGTTGTGTTCTATTTTGTTGTCAGGCCAACTCAATTTCCCCCCTTCTGCTTGCTGTGTGTTAGGTTCCTCTAGCAACTGCTTCATGCCAATTCAGGAAAAGAAATGGCTTCCTGGAAGGCTGGGTGTTGGGAGAGCTGTACAGCACTGCAGAGACAGAGAGACTGAAAACTGTATCATACAGACTCATTTAAAGTGTGTGCCAGAGGAAAAAAAAAGTGATATTTGCACCAATTTGTATTTCTCATTAAGTGCTTCCTGGGCCTTGATGGTGCTGCAATAGAAACCAAAAACAACAAAAAGGAATATTTTCTATAGCTGTGTTAAGTGAAGCCAGTGGGATTGGTTTAGTGGGAAAAGAATAAACCATGTTTGTTTCCAGCAGTTTGAAATCCAGGACTGTACTGATGACAGCTAATACATGTATATTTTCATTATTTCATTTTCCTGGTTTCATACAATTTAAAATTAATATTGAAAAAATTAAAATTAATATTGACATTTAATGTCTGTGGAAATAGCTATCAATATACAGAAGATTAAATAAAGCAATAGAAAGAGTGCAGACTGCAACTGATAGAATAGCTGGTATCCCTTTAAATAAAACTCAGAACAATATTTTCTGCTGCACACTACTTCCTCAGCACTCTGACCTTGATACTGGATACAGCAGGTGTAGGTTACTCTGCATATTATCCATTGTTCTCATGTGCACCTAGAAAAACTTGTTTCTTAAAAGAGACCCTTACACTTCCCCGCCTCCCCTCCCCTGCAGCTTAAGTTATCCAGTGTTATGCTTACAGTTATGACAAGTATACAGCCACTGATACACAGGACCTGGCTCAGGAAGGTGCAGCAAATAAAACCAAGTGACTGGACAATAAAACGTCAGATGAAATTCAATGTGAGCAAATGTGAAGTAAAGCACATGGGAAAGAAACATTACCATTATTACCTTTGACTTAATTCTGTGTGAGTTAAAAAATAAAATAAAATAAAATAAAATAAATCTTCAATCTCTTTCACAGGTCTGTAGAGAGGACTCAGAAGAGGAAAGCAAGCAAGAAGGTAATTTCTCTTGAAGGGCATTTCAGGTACCTGCCATTTCAGTTGGGCTCTTTGTCTGGGAAGGGAGTGTCTAGCAAGATGAGCAGAGCTTGGGAGTCAAGGCATGATATGGTTTGAAGGTTCAGGTATGTAAGCTGAGGTATCTCTAGTGGTGCTCAATCTTCATGAGCATTCAGTTCTTTGCAGATTGTTCTCCTAAAACCTGCAGTGTAAGTTCTTCCTTATTGCTCATAAAGTTATGATCCAGCATTGCTGGAAGATGTTGGCTGTCCTATTGCCTTTGAATATATGAATATATCAGACGAGATCCATACTGTCTGATCCAAAACTGAAGGACACCAGTGGGAATATCTGCCATCAATGAAAAAGTGCTTTTTTTCTTTTTCTTCCCTCTATTCATAATGAACAGGAAGTACATGATTTTAGACTGATTTTGCAGAATAATTCTAATGTGCAGAAGAAAAACATATTGAATAGCTGTGAAGACACAACCAGTATTTTTGTCTGCCATGTCTTTTATCTACAGATATTGCACAGTAGTTGAACAACAGCTCACTAACAGCTAAACCTCTAAAAACAAATTACACTAGTTTTTAATAGATCAATTCAACAGTTTCCAAATCTTATTTCAATTATAGATAGAAATCCTGAAAACCAGGGAAAAAGCCACTGGCATTACAAGGGACTTAAATTTATATTCCACTGAGTCTTGATGAAACCTACATTAACTTTTTTTCTCCTTCAGTGACCTTAGTGGTGGCTTTTAGTTTCACCATCAGACTAAAGGGTAATATCCTTAACAATGTTAGTCCTGGCCCTTAAATGAAACACAGAGGGTTGTGCATATAGGTTTCTAGCATCTGAAGTGTGAAGTGGAGGACTGAACAAAGACAACTGTTTCCAGGAAGAAGTATTTTCAGGCTTTCAAAGAACAGAACTTCGAGACTTATGATTTCCAAAATGCCTTCAGTGTTTAGTACTGAATTTTTGTCTCACTTTTTTTAATTACTACATCAGAAGTGCAGGGTGCAAAATGTAAGTTCTGAATTTCTGCATTGAGTAAATGAGAATTTCATAGCTTCACACACTGAGAGTCCTCAGTCAAGAATCTGTGTGATGCAGGATCAGCCTGTCTGCAGCCTCTTTCAGAGGCCCAATACAGCTTGGCCAGCTGCAAGGTGGAGTCCATGAGGTTGCAGTGATGTGCCACTTCTGCACTTGAGCAAGCTCATGAAGTCACTCTAAAGCAAAGTGTATTTGGATGAAGCCTGCCAGGTTCTCAGGTATCTTGGGTGCAGGTAGGACAAATGCAGAACTTTGGGAAAAAAAACAAACACAGATTTGCTTTAAAGTTAGATTCCTCTTGAAGTCCAGGTGTTTTTTACTTCACTTGCTTAATCTTTTATCTGGGGGATAGAGCTTGGATGCAGCTACTATTAAAGAAAAGTCTTTTTTTTTTTTTTTGGTGTGCTAACACATAAAGGCAGATTAGGAATAAGGAAAAGATAAGATAACTCTCAGATAAGGAACTCTGTCCAAGGATTGTATTGTGTGGTGGCTCAGCTTGTGATTTGAACCGTACCCTGAAATACTTACTTGCTTCTTGCTTCAGATCACGTCCCAATCTATTATAAAGCAGCACATTCCCACTGCAAGAGCTTTGCAAGCTTTTGCTGACAGCTACAAGAATAGTTCAGAGCTGCTCTGAGCAAGGGATCCTTTTCTGAAGGAGTATGTTTCTGTGGGAAGTTTCAGCAGGAACTGAAGGCAGAATGTCCTTGTGTGGTTGCCTAGCATAAAGGGAGGGGTGTTGCTCTGCCAAACACGTACAGTAATCCATGCAAAAAAAAAAATATCGCACAGATATTTTTGAAAATGTATGAAAAATATATGTGCAATATGTCACCTTTCCAGGCGTGATGCCAGTGTACTGAGTTCTTCTGGGCTTTTGTCTTCTGCAGAACATCATAAATTAGAAAAGCAAAGGCAAAACAAGAAAAAAGAAAAGGAGCGAGAAGCATTGGGGACAGCAGAACTAAAGAAATAGCTGGGGAAATGTAATTGTAATGTTATAATCTGACTGTAAACTTCTCCCTTTAAAAAGATCACAGCATTTTAAATTAAGAGTCAATGGATTCATGATCATGCATTGAAAAGTTAGAAATTGCCAGTGTTATGAATGCCTGCTGAAACTTAATTCTTCCCCCACTCTATCTGATCTAGTCTCTAACTCCACACTGTGTTTGCAGTGCTCCTTGCAGTGGAGAAGTTGCACATAGAAGCAGATAGAAGGAAGATTTCTTGGCCCTCTCTAATTCTGGCATGTGCTAACTTTCAATTGGGTGACTTTGCCGCGTCCTTTAATGTAGCTATTTTTGTGTGTGTTTGTATAAATTAAAAATAGGTCTATAGAAATAACTTTAAAACCCTGGAGTATTTAATAGCAAGCAATTCCATTTTATAAAACATTTATAACAACTTATAAAATGTAATCAACAGAGAATTGTGCCCCTGCCTTTGAATTCTTTAGGTCGTTTTAAAAATAATACCTTAAGGAGGTTGGAAATGGCAGCATGAAGTGTTTCTTTTCCATTCAGTAGCTACTAAAATAAATGTTTCCAACTGTATTAAAAATATGAAAAAGCTATCACTGTTGCTTGTACTTGAGCTGTGTGAAAGCACCTTCATTTGATGGGATAATTACCTTGACATACATAAACATAATTTATTTTACTGAGATTTAAAGATTAAACACCAGACTTCCAAATGAGGTCTTGATGATATATACTGTTTCACTGTGCCTACATTCAGAGGTGTTCATTACAAGTTATGAGAAATGTTAAATGTTCTGGTTTTACCTCACTGTTATTTCATGTTACTTTTTATTTTCAGTAGGTAGTAAACACTATAGTAAATGTCCAGCATAAGGAAGCTGTGAAGTAACATTAAAAAAAAAAATCATTTAAAAATCTATAAATTGCAAAAGCATGGTAAATCATGGAATGTATTTGAAAATTTGTTACAAACAAATAAAATTTGATTCAATAATTAAATTTACATAATAATTGGAGATTATTAAAAAAGTGACCAGTTTTTAATATTTTTTAGGGGAATTAAAGTGTATTTCACCAATCAGTATTTGTCTAGGAAAATTGTTGATGAAGGGTTATTTTTGGAATATCAAAAGGTAATAGCAATGATCCAGTTTTAATTTCTTCATATTGAAGCATAAAAGTAGTGACCAAAATGAAAATAATCCTCAAAAATACTTTGGCCTCAAAATAATGTTTCACCTGGAGACAAGATAAGTAAATAAATAACTTCTTGCTAAAATCTCTTTATTAGGCTTGCTTGTCACAAGAGCAGTTGGGTAGAATGAATCCTGGCATTATACTCCCAGCTCTTCGCATAAAGCCACAGGGTAAATCTGTAGCAAAAGAACAGATTCCCCCAGCTGTGATGTCTGATTATATGCTGCACTCCAAAAATTATATTGATGCTATGCTTAAGCAAGATAACAAAATATAGCTATAATGTAAAGTCAGACATAGATACCCAATACAAATAGGCTTACATAATAAAATATTTAATTTCTCTTTATGTGCACAACTTTTTTGCTTTCACAATATGCATATTTGTAAATAATGAATTTTAATGAATGAATGCTAATTACTGTAGATCAAAACAAGCTTCTGGAAGTTTAGAATCAGATTTTAAGCAGAGCTTGCTGACATTAATGTGGGACATATTTTAGATAATATTCCATTGTGCACCTAGACTTTACAACATTGCTGGCATTATTGTCATGCCATCTATTAATTCTATGATCTCTAGGGATGATTTACACACGATATACAATGGAGATGTGTTAGAAAAATATGCTTGGTAGCCCTGACCTCTGTACAGTTCTGTGGAAATTTCTTACGTGGGGGATAAAGGAGCAGTTAGACACACAGATTTGGCAGACTGCTACTTGCTCCTGTTACACTGTTGTATACATGTTTGATTAAACTGGTCCTGCCAAAAAACATAATACAATAGGTGGGTTTTCCTGTGCTTTCCCTCTTTCTGCTGTTTGCTTGTGGGTAACAAACACCTTTTCCATCTCACTTTCCATCAGATTATTGTTGGTCCTGCCACTAATATCAATATGATCAGGATGGTGCCACAGCTGTCCTTGGTCCTAGTTATCAGGCCAAAAATAACAGCACAATCCAGCGGTGCCAAGATTATAGCAAGCTCTAATGACATATGTTATGTTGGAAAATTAATGCTGACACTCTGAATATGGATGATAATAATAGTTCTTAGGATGGTGCTGGTGGTGGTGGTACAGTACGAAAATGTTCTCTGTCCTTCAGAACTCCACAGGTATATAACTAGGTTGTCACTGTTGGGATGTTGGTTTGCATTTGGAAATCTCCTTATCAAATGCAAAACTGGTCTGAGTGTTTGTAAATACAATCTAGGCCAGTTCCCAATGGGCATCATCATAAAACCAAATCACACTGCAGAGCTGGTACAGATAATAGCCTTTGTTCAGGGTAGGGCTTGTGTGCATGGTGTTGGGGACTGAAAAATGTGAGTTACTTAAAAGTTATATATATATATATATATATATATATATATATATATATAATATAATAATATATAAAATATAATATATATTTTATAATTACATATTATATATTATATATAAATTATAACTATATAATTTATAATTATATTTTATATAATTTTATATAATAATATATAAAATATAACATATAAAATATATAAAAGTTATATATATGTATATGTATATGTATATGTATATGTATATGTATATATTTAAAGTAAAAATCATTGCAAGACTTTTGCTGCCCTAGAAAGGCATAAATTGAGAGAATAAATTCAACAGCCTGTATTAGTTTAACAGTAAGTGGAGAATGGCTATGAATTTGCTGTATGTCCAGAAGAATATTACACAACTGGGCTGCTCTTCCAATGTAGTCCCAGGTTCATTCTGTACAATTGTTCAGCGTGGACTTTCAGGGTTTCTATTCTGATTTGAGATAAATCTTCTACTCTACAGTGCTTGGAATCCATTTTCAGTTATCATATATCTCAAATCTTCTGATACAGTCAGGAAGGCTTCTTTCAATTGGATCAGATTTTAACACTTCCATGGATTCATCACAAAACCAGGAAAGTTGTCATTTGACATTCTATACAGTTTTGCCAGGTATGTTTACTGCATACCATTTTACTGCACAGAGCAGAATTGTGTTATACCAGCTAACACTCCTTTAACAGTGCATGGAGGTTTGTAGTTTGCTCATAAGCTAACTGCCATCCTGCAAGTCAACAGTTAAGAGCAAAAGGAAAAAAGGGTAAGAATTTATATCAGCAGATATTTAAAGAATAATATGTCACAGGACTACTACATCTTGGCTACCATCTTTTTCCTGGACTCTTTTAATGGCTCTGTCTAGCCCTTTAATAGCTGAGCAACCTTTTTACAGTTTATCATAATCATAAAAGCATGTTTGTTACCACTGTCCAGAAGCTGGAGGGTATATTTAGGGACAACACATAAAAACAGAGAAGCAAGTGATTTCATCTTAGAAATAACATAAAACATCCTTTATTGTTTTATGACAGGTCTTATGCAACAGGTCTCAGAGGATCTATTTATGCATCTGCAGAGCTGAGCCAGACATCTCCAAGCTTTCCCAGCGGAGGGCAATTGCTGGATTAGGTAAGGGAACTTTCCACCATCTCTTCTGGGAGATCTGGTCACATCAGGTAGGTTGGAGGACAGTTATTTGTAGCATCTCATGCTGGGATGCTCCAAACTGAATACATTTGGTGTGGGAGGAGGTGAAGCAGTGCACCTGGAGTACTCCCAAAGAACAACTGTAGTGGAAAGATGCTCTGACTTCACAGAATGGAAGATGAAACAGGGTGAAGCAAAACACTATAAGGACAGCAAAGTTATGCTAAATCTACTTATAGATCCAGTATAGAAAAAGTCCAGTCATTTCTGATACAAACACTCAATGACCTGATACATAACTAAGCTTTAAATTTGTATTTTTATTCACTTTTCTCCATTCCTTAGCACTTACAACCTTTAGAGTCTATTATAAACTCACTGAGAAGAAGAGGGAAGGATTTTCTTTCTGGCCAAGTACTAAAAATACCAGCACAATCACTTGCAGTTTACAATTAACCACCTTTCAAGGGTTTTTTTAAAAAAAAATTAAAAAAAAATCTAGTCAATTGCTTCTTGCTTCTCTTCAAGTGGCAATTAGCTGAAAAGAGCCCTCTACACTGAATCTTAGGAGTAATACTAGAAGTAGGGGAAAGATGCTGGATAAAGCAGGTCGACTACATTAGAAATAATTTTCTTGGTTTCATTCATTATCTCCATGTAATTCTTGCAGGAACTGTATTAATAAAAAACAGGAATTTTCTGACCTATCAGTGATGTATAGTAGAAAAATAAATAGCAGTGAGACCCTCTGGGATGCTTTCCTCAGCTATGGTAACTTAGTATAACTCTGCCAAAGTTGTATTAAATTAGATCACCTGAAGATCTGCTTTTAATACTTGTCTTACTGGGTGCAGTTAACTATTAGCTTTTTAAGTTATGAGAAAGCAACTTACTAGTCAAATGAAGAATATTTTTGATGTATAAAATTTCCCCTTTGTCAGCCATGGCAAAAAAAAAATAATAATCCAAAGTCACAAAATAGTTATGCAAGAAATGAGTAAACTCAGAGAGATGGAAAAATGTCTCCTTAGCAGTTGTTTTCCATCGCCTTTACTGTACAAAAGAAAGCATTATAGTTGTGATGTAGATGAGGCCATAAAAAACTCCCATCCAGAGGACTTGCTGCACAAGTCCTTGAAGAATACTTGGTGCAGAAAACGGTCTTTCTAGGCATAATATTTTAATTCCAGCCCAATTATTGTTGCAGGATGATGCTAAAGTGAAGCTCAGAATATTGCATTGGGATCACTATATCCACAGATCTATTTCTAAAACTGCCATTTTTTTAATAGGAGCACATGTAAAACACAAGTTACAGACTTAATATCTGCAAGTTCATGGCTTGCTTCCAAGGCAGATTACTTCTCCTAACATTTGTATCATTCTTATATAATGTAACAACAAAGCATTAATCATGCAAATATCAATATTTAATGATTATGAGGTTAATGCCTGCAAGGCACTTTAGAGATAAAAAGAGCTCTGTAAATCTAGATGTAGGATATTTACTCCTTGCTTTATCTTAGTTGCATGCAAAAGGGTTGAGATCCAGCTTATTTTATCTAGAAAGGCAGGTACCCAGAACTTCAAATCTAAGTGAAATATCCAGTTCTAATAAGAGACTAAGGGAAGAGGATGGTTCTATAAAGGAAAGAAAGAAAGCAAACAAAATTTGATCCTGCGTGTTAGCATTGCTAAAAAATCCATATAGCCCCTTTAAAGTGATGGGTGAATCACAGTCACTGTTCCCTTACTATCCCCTTTTTATTGAAGAGTTTCTTTTGGACAGGTGAGCAAGAGCTGAATGACAACTTGAAATCTGTTGCTGAATAGATAAGAGGCTTCTGTATGTGTACTCCTGAGTCTGGCCAATAGCAGTAACTGTGTAAGAGGAACTCCTTAGAAGGAAAATGGTTCTCCCAGGTCGTGTTTGCTCCTTGTCTGTTTCGTTTCTGTGTGTTAGGGGAATTGTTCAGGCTTAAGTAAGAGATGAAGTGTAGCAAAAATTGTTTCCTTAAGGTCATTTATGTCAATTACGACATTAATGTCAGTCACCTGCTGGCACACAGAACTTTTCTCAGCCATTGGAAAAATTGACGAGAAAACATCCAAATCATATGTTCTGGGATAAGAAAAATAGGAGCTGGCTGACAAAACTCAGAAGTAGTAGGGTGGGAATAACTGTGAACGCTGCCGAATATGCAAATGGAAAACAAGCAAACTATAATTACATTTAGTAAGAGAACACCAGGGTGGCCTGGAAAGCTGAAGGGCAGGTTTTGTCTCCTGATGTTGCTGTGTGCTTGAACTGTGGCTGAGCAGCAAAGCGAGCTGCCGTCTCGTGGAGACTGGTGCAAACCACTGCCACCGGTAGAGCAGGGCTGTGCATGTTAGCAAACATAAGTGTGACAGTAAACAATACTCTGGCAAGGGAATGGAGGAAGATATTCAGTCAAGACAACTGTGAGCAAAAGCACAGATTTATTATTATTGTTGTTGTTGTTGTTTCCTAAGCATGACTGGGAAAAAAAATCTTCATTTGATGAAACTTTGCTAAGGAACACCTAGTTGGGGAGCACGACTAGAGAAGGCAGGTAAAATATTTTTAGTTCATTAAGTCTGACATGGATTAAAAATAGGGCCTGTAATTTCTTGGCTGACATAGTTTTCTTATGGTTTGCAGACACACATAATAGGTATGTTCTCTCCAAACCCTCTGTCTGTTGCCCAGCTATGATAGTGGAGAAAGGCTGTCAGGCAACTCAGTGAAGGCAGCTAGCAGTCCTGCTGAAGGCAATGGGGAAAAGTAACACCTTGAATCAATCATCAGTCTCCCTGTGTTGAATACCCATAATGTTTTAAGTGCAGGATGCTGATTAATGTTATCTGGGACCGAGGGCTGATGTTGCTTGGCTATAATTACTTTCGGACTCTTCTCCTGCTCAGAACTCAGTACTCTGGGTGTAGGAGGCAAAACAATTACCAAGAATGCAGGAGGCTGCTATTTAAATCTATTTACATAATTTTGCTATGTTTTTCTTAAAATATTGCTGTGTAATTGAGGAACCCTTTCATGGCTTAGCCTTCGCTAGAGCTATCATGGCAATATTCCTTGAAAGTTAGCTTGCTGCATTTGCAAGGACATCACTGATGACCTATTAGCTGGTGTCTGTACCAGGGGAGCAGCCTGCAAGCCCTGGCAAGTGGGATTTCTCAGTAGGCAGCTCTCTGTGCTACTACTGTGCAAATACCCTCATTCTCTTCTTCTGTCACCAGCATTCATGTAGCACAGACCAGCTTGTGATGGAGAACGTGCAGGTTTGCAGCCTTCCCTGCATTGCTCCAGTCAAACAGCAGTGTGCTTTGTGTTCTTGCCTGATACTTCTGACTTCAAGAGTCAAAAAAAAAATAATAATGGTACCACTTAAATATTTCAGCTTGGGGATTGTTGGTTGTGTTTTGTTGTTGTTGTTTGTTTACTTTTGTTTTCATTTTAATTTGTCTGATTTTTTTTTTTAATTATTTTTATTTTTTTTATTCCTGATACAAAGCTCGGTGCTTTTTTTCTGGAAGGCTGAAATCATGCAAGCTGTCAAGTCTTCACATGTTGTTGAGAAGTGGGACCTCAAGAAGCAATGGTGCTATGAGAAGAACTGGCAATGCCGTGGTGTCCTGTACCAAGCCCTTACCAGAAACCCTACAGCTCTGCCACACTGAAGCCTGAGGGGACCTGATCTGAAGCTGCCAATAAGCCAGCCTAGCTGCTGCTTCTGAGCAGACATGGTCCTAGACAAGTTTCGCTTTCTATCAAGGACAACCTGCTAAAGACATCTCTGACTTTACAGATGATACCTCTGAGAGTATTTTGGTGGGGTAAAGAGAGCATATGAAGGTATATATTCCCAGAGCTGTCCCCTGCCTAGGCACTGCCTGGCTTTGCTTTACCTCGACTCTCTGACGACTGCCAAGACATCTTATTTTGCAGCTGAATCTGTCCAGGTCTTTTCCTTTTCAGAGAACTCCAAAAGATAATTAAAAGATTTCTACATTGAAATAGCCAGTCTTTATCAATATATAGCCATCTAATTACAAATAATTATCTTCTTAAGACAGACTAGAATATTTATTTTTGTAGATTGGCTGTTTGCACCATAGGCAGAGTGAGACTTATCAGAATTGTTGTGTCACCACAAGCCATCGTGGTAGGACCCTCATAAACATTGCATTCAGTGAAAGCTGCAGGGAGCAGCAGGATGAAGCAGTATCCTCTGTGACACTGTCAGAGTAACCAAAGAAAAGCTTCAGGTTTTGTTGCTTTCAAAGTAACACTTCCACAAGTCTAAATCCCCAGCTACTACTGGGCTGGTGGGGCCAGAACCCTTCCCTGGGGGTAAATGGTTATAGGTGGTGTCTTCCTGGGTACCTGCCCGTGTGGGAGTTATGCCAGACTGTGTCCCTATGAGCAAGTTTCTCCCCCACACAACCTGAATTTTCCTTGTGGAATAAAATCATTTCCTCCTCAGGCTGATCCTGAAAAACATCTTTAAAAAGCTGAGGCCTGGTGGGGACAGTCTGTGACTGAGTTACACTGGGGAAGAGAAGTAAAGAATACAGCATCACCAGCAAGGTATATGGTGCAATGAAATTAGCAATAATAATAATAAAATAACTTTCACTTGGATTTCTGCTTATCAAACTTATCAATAATTTGTTTCATATTCCGTACAGTGAGCTGTATTAGCATGATAAAAACAGATTTCTGTCTTCTCTGATGCCTATCACAATAAAACAGCAATGCAGTGACCATGTTTTGAGACTTCAGACTTGATGAGTTTGGTTCATTCAGAGATACTTATCTTAAAAATAGTCTTTATTATGTTTTTTTAGTAGACAGTGGCTCTGAACTGGGACTTGGAAAAATGTTCATTTTGTAATGGAATTTTTTTTTTTTTGGTTATAAGTTGGCCATAGCCATAAAGTCAAATAAAGAGAGCTTGAGTGAGAGAGAAGAGGAAAAAAAATCCACCTTTTGTTTGTCAAAGTGCAGTTATGGGACAAAGGAAGACACATTTGGGATTCATTTCAGGCTCAGGGTTAGAAGCACTCTTTTCTAATCAGAAGCTTACAGGTGAGAGACATGCTTTGTATCTTTTATGCCTTCCACCAGAACAGAATCAGGTGCATGCATAATGCACGAGGCAAGTACTAGTACTGATGCAGAATAATCCATAAAATATGAAGCTGATGTTATGAATAATTAAAGCACAAACACACTCAGAAACACCTGCATGCAGCTAATAGGATGGGTTGGACTTGGCCTATGGGAGTGAGATAAAGGTAGATTTGAACCTGTCCTCCTCCCATTCGGGTGCACTCTGGGCAGAGTGCTGAGCACATCCCAGGGCACCACTGCTCCCTCCCACCCACCCAGGACTGTTCTGGATTTGCAGACCCCTGTCTGGGGAGTGAGTAAATGCAGTGAATTTCCTCTGCCACAGCTGCAGAGAGGACATGGTATTTGTTTACTTCAGAGAGAATTTTGCTGCATGTTTCCTTGTTATAATATTGAAAAGGCTGAACTTTCAGTGTTCCAGTAAGTAAATGGCTGTTTTGTTTAGAGATAGCAAAGAAAGATGAAATATTTAACTTTTATCAATAATGCACCCTCTACGTAACAGTGCCCACATCGACACATAATCTGTGACAAACTTTCACAGATCCCCTGATGCACTTGAGTGAAGCTCAATTTTTTATTTTTATTTTTTAAACTTGTATGAGATGAATAACTTCGGAAGTTCCCTGCAGAGAAGAGAGAGAGAAGGGCGAGAACTGAGCTAACAGTATCAGCAGATGAGAAGGTCATATAAATTATTACCGCTTGCATGGCTTGTATGCTAACATGGTGTTACTATTCTTAATACTTTTATGAGCTCTGTGGAGATCCTGGGTCTGTTATGCTAGACATTGATCACAGACTGGTAGAAAACATCCTTGTCCTAAAGAGTTCATTTTAAATAGAGATTAAAAATGGTGAGGTCTTTTCTGAACTGTAATGAACTTTTTTTGAACTTGAGTAAACCAGGAGTTGTTAGGGAAAATGTAAAGATTCATAGCAGGGACTGATTGTACTTTTACCTGAACTGAGCAGAAAAAGGTGCTATCATTAAGGAGCATCCAAAATGTTTTGTTAATTCACATCTGTTAGACTGAGTTGAATGTATTGGAAAATACTCTCTGGGCTCTGGCTTATTATTTGTGATATATCAAACTACAATATACTGCTTTTTATACTGCTGCTCTTGTGAAGGAGTTCTGGCTGTGTGCACAACAATCTTAGATCTTTGTTATTTAAATACTTTCTTTGGTGTGTTGGATCCTATGAATAGTATGTCTGCACTCCGATTTCATGGAGAGAGACTGTGTGTTACTGAAAAACATGCAGCTTTAGAACTTACAAAATTACAGTGCGCTTGCTTGATCACAGAGTGTGGTCTGAATGCTCGAGGGATTAGGTGGATATGGTACAGCTGACACAAGAGATGCTGGGTTTTGAGTCTGGATCAGTTGAAGAGAAAAAGCTCCAAGAGTCCAAGAAAAACAGTTCTTACAGTGACAGTTTGGTTGGCATATCTTTTTACGTGAGGGGAAGTTTTCCAATGGTTTCAAAACTGTGAATCAGTTTTGCCATAAACTGTCTAATACTGTTGTATCCACTTACTTTTTCTATTCTCAACTGATAGAGCTGAAGTATTTCTCTATTTAAATTAGGCTGTAGGCATTAGACAAAATGAAGTTATTTTTTTCAGTGAATTCTAAAACTAGGACAACAGTTCCTTTGGAAAATGCTGCCTTTACCAAAATACTGCTTGAATGAGCCTGACAAAGCACAAAATGATTATGTGTGAATCTCCAGATTATTTTAGCAGACTATTTTGCAGAACTAAAAGTTCTTAAAGATTTTCTGCGGCTTGCCATATGGTGTCAGGGATCAACAAATGAACATTTGTGTTTCTCTCCTGTGGTAAGACTAAACGATGAAATGCTTTAATATGACCTGTTTCTAGGAAATAGCCAATGACTTCTCCACTGCTCCAGAAGCCATTAGGTACTAGGACTCAATGCAAGCATTCTCCACAAACCTCAGTCTTTAATAAGGTAGACCTTCAGATCTGTAGCAAGCCTTCAGACACCATTAGATATGCTGTTCAAAGAAAAAACAAAACCCAAAAAACAAATGACAGCATGTTATCAACACTCTTCTCATCCTAATCCAAAACATAGCACCCTACCAGCTACTAGGAGGAAAATTAACTCTATCCTAACTGAATCCAGGACATATACATGTATCCTCCCAATTAAAATATATATATATATATCCAAACAACCCTGTATGTTACTGTGGAGGAGGATGAGCTATCTTGAAACTCCCGACTTGAGTTTTCAGTCATCATTCTCAATGGTAAATGTTCTTCATAACCTTGACACTTCTCCCTATGTTAGAAGCTAAGGAGCTGCATTGGCAATGAGACAGACAATGCATCCAGCATCTTTCAGAGGTTCAGAGGTAGTGGTGTCTTTCCCATTGGCAGGTTAAGGTGTGGCTTGGTTTTCAAGACCTTCCCTATCTTTCAAAATATTTTGTATGGGAACAAATTTCCTGGTAGTTCTGGCTTCCTGAAAGTGAGGAACAGATTTTAGAATGTAGGGTAGCCTTCATAATAGAAATAGGGTAGCCTGCTGTAATATCTTTAGGTTTTGGACTGCTTGAGAAGTCTTCCTTTGTCACAGACCGCCTTAGAACTTCACAGGCATCCTGTTGGCTGTACTGACAGATAAGATGTTCTTCACATAAATTACACTTATATATATATTTTTTTCAAAGTATTTCTTATAAGAGATAGTAAATGAATATAAACAAGATTGCAAAATGTAATCACCATCATACAGTCACAGGAAATGACTATATGCAAGCAACATGTACTGGTAAGAATAAGGTTGTTAAAAGTGATTTTTCTAAAACTACTTTAATCTTTAAGTTTTTTTTTAAATGATGGTTTTACAACCATTTCAAGTACTTTTTATCTCCAAACCTGTTTTAAAAAGGACCAATGTGTACTGATGAATTCTGCTGTAAACACTTTAATATTAAAAAGTAATTGCTGTACATACAAAGCAGCTGCTGAAGGGACAGATAAAATGAGCATGTTTATGAATTATTATGTCCCCTTTCAATAAAGATTTGAAAAAATGATGTGTTGCAGTCCTGTGACCTCTGAGAATGTATCTACATGCAAGGAAAAGCCATACTTATTTTTGCTGTCGCAACCACACTTCTAGGAACTCATCCACACCACCAGACTGATCATACAATAGATGGATACTCTCACACAATTTCACAATTTTATGGAGTGACTTCAGAGCCACTGGATGTAACTCTTATTTATTAACATTTGAGATCTAATAGTTGGGTCTCTTGGTGAGCCATTTTGCCTGAAGGACGCACAAATCTGCTGCAGTAAGAATCTTGCATAATGCATATACCTTCTTGTATAATGTTCTGGTATTAATACAGTGCATATCATAGTTCCAAAAGAGACCTTGCCAAATCATTAAAAAGAACTTGCAGAACACTGAATTTTAATTGCTCTTGGGATACTGAGAATAGCATTGATTGACTAACTTTATGCAAGTTTATTAAGAGTTTTTAATCTATTATCTAATTAAGGGACATTATTTTACTTTTTGTACAGTATCTCTGTAATTTCATTAGTGATGTTTTAAGTGTCATTCTTCTAATGATTTTTGTGCACCAAAAGGAAAAACTTTTAAATTTGGAGTAATCCACAGGACAAGTGATAGTGAGATACAGAAGTCCTGAAAGGTGGAGGCTGACTGTTGGTGGCAAAGGTGAGGTTACACTGCGTAAGCAGTAGTAAGATTGGGCAGCTTTGTGCAGTATGGGAGATTGCTGTCTGTTGTAAGCCTTTCCTCTTAAAAAACCCTGTGCAGAGAAGGTGACTTAGTGAGATACAGAGTAGCCTGAAGAGGACATTAAGGTAGAACAGGCATGGAGTCATGTCAAGGTGGTAGGATGGTTTCCTGAGGGTAAGATGGCAATGGAGAGAGATGCGATAGTACTCTAAAAGAACAGTGTTCAAATAAAATTACTTTGTCCTGCAGAACCTCCACATTACAGGTTGTGAGCCTGTGAAAAGTGAATTTTAACACTAGTGCCAGTGGTTCAGGATTTAGCACCTTGCCACTTGTGTGTGTCTGTGGGACTGGGGCTTAGGATGGGGATAGAGCAGATTAGACAGAACTGTGTGAGGATTTCCTTTTCCCTTCTGTGCTCCAAATCAAAGAGGGTCAGTTAGCTTTGAATTTCATTCACGAGGAGACTCTGCAGACTACGCAAACATGGACTTTTATCTAAGAAGAGAAAGAGCTGATCATGTAGCTTAATAGAATAAGTCTTTTAGCCTTGGAATTTTTCTATCGAAAAGTGTAATATTACTGGACATTTTGGGAATACAAATTCCTACAGTGGTGCGTCTGGCATGGTTGGATACTGTGTTGCTTTACGACTATCTTCATTTTTTAATGAAAGGGGTAAAATAATATAAATTTCTAGCCATGTTCCAGGTAGGATACATTCCTGAGACAACTACAGTGAAGAACAGAAATGTCAGGGAGACTGAATTTCAAAAAACGGTAGAAAGCTACAGAACCACTTCTGGTTGGACAGACTGGAGAAATTGATGTATTTTGCATTGCTTATGGCAAGGGTGAAGGGTGAGGCTAAATCCCAGGTGGAAAAATGGTGGAGAGCCATTAAAAAATGAATATTCCTATACAACCATGTAGCTGGCATAAGATCAGTAACAAATAATGAAAACATTGACATATCCACTTTAATTATTAATTGTTATAATAGGACTAGCTAAGGGTAGAGAAAAGTAATCTTTAGTATGAAGAATCTTGTCTGCAAATAAACAAGTAACATTATCTGCTGCATTTCAATTAATGAATAATGATCAACACATGCAAACTCAAAACACTAGAAATGTTTCATTTGTTTAGTTTTGTACATGTACAGCAAAGTCCTGGAAAATATCCTCATCAGACATTTTGGTGATCATGACATTGATTTACGATACATGAAAGAAGTGAATGAAAAAGAATTTAGTACTTAGAAGCCAATTATTTAAAAATTATTTGATTTCACTTAAATTTGTCAATAAATGCAGCTACTTGTAAACCTGCTCAAAATAGTAATTTCTCAGATCAATATCAAGGGTGCCATTGTATGCAAGCTGGGTCAATTAAATATCCGTAAGGAAGAGACAGCTGTGAGAGCTGCTAATATTGCAGAAGGCTTGTCTTATAGGAAGATTTACTGAAATTTATCTGGGCATTGGCTGCCATTCTCAGCTTGCCTCCAATGTGTGGCATTCAATTCCAAAACCTTTCTACTTTGTCTTCACTAAGATCTGTCCCTGAAGACTAGGCATGCTAAGATTGAAAGATCAGCCCTGGATAGAAATAAAACAATGCAGAGAACCCTGCAACAGCAAACTGAGTCTTGCACTTCCTTCAACAAGAAGCTTATTCATTTGTGTTTGCAAAGGAACTTTAAAATTGTATTTGTATGCAGCAGATTTCATTATTAGCTTTTTCTCTGATCTTTGAAGTCATCATGTTTTTTTGATCACAGTCTTTGGAGTGACGTTACTAGGCAGAAAATTTGGTCCCTCACTTAATTAATAAAAGTTGATTAAAGCTTGCACTGTAAAGATAGCGGTAGTGATGTAAGAAGATGTTATTTACTTCATATCAGCATCATGGGCAAATAGGCAAGATGTAAAAACTACAGGGATGGTTTCCATGATCTGGAAATTTGCTGGTAAAAGACTAATAATTAGCAGTGTACTGCATGAGCAGGATACATCTGTGTGCATTTCTATTAATTATTCTAAAAGACTGTTTAAATAAAATGTTTCAAATAACTGTCTATTTTTATTCCCCACAAGTCTCAACAAACACCCAGGAGAGTGAATATGTTTTTCAAAACAAAGGCACCACAACTGCTTAGCATGGATTTAACTTTTGTAGAAAGAGATGAGCTTAGCAGCACTGATTTTATATACTGCACTGATAGCATTTAGGTAGTTTTAATTTTAGACTGGAAAATTCTCCTTGCCTCCTGACTCTAGGATACAGAACTACAGGGTGCAGGGTCTGCTCCAACTGCTCTGCACACTGTAATGATTTAGACTGCAAGAAGATGATTCTGCTAGTTGAGCATCTATTGTGCTTTTCCCTGAACAAACAAACAATAAAATTAAACAAATAAACAAACAGCTGGTGTCTGCAGCAGTCATGGCATGAAATCAATTTTGTAAATGTCAAGATAGTGGACTGGAATTTTCCAAGGAGTCTCAGAGCATTAGTAGCTCAAGTGCCATGGAAAACCTACCCTATATATTCTGAATCTTAGGTAGTGAGAAAGATGTAATTTACCCCTTTGAAACACCCTAGGCAAATAGGCAAGATGGATACAAAAATATTTTGCTAGAGAGAACAGCTTTCATCCTGGAAAGCAATTAAGTGGAAAGGATGTTCCTTCACACAATCTGTCTTTCACCATTTTATCAGACAGGAATTTCTTAGCTGGGGTACCAGCTACTTTCCCTTCTACATGCAGACTGCTGCTGAAAGAAAAAGTTTTCTGATTTTGATTTCAGTGAAATACATACAGTGAGCTTGGTTGTATGTCTCTGAAAACTATGTTTGGCTCAGGTTCCTCTTTATTAACAGATCAGATGCCTGGATGTTTCCTAAAGAAACATTTTATGCAATTTATTTAGTGGCTTCATGAAGAAATTCTCTTTATACAGATTCATCTCATTTATACAGGTTCATTTTTCTCCCTGTAGCAACTGAGGATGTTTGGATTCTGGGCTCTTATTCCACAGTTATGTGTTGTGCTGCAAAGAAAAATATGTTTCAAGGATGTTCCATATTCTACCTCCCATTCACAAAGTCATAAATTATGTTTTGCTGTGTATTATTTAAATTATATTATAACTGACAATCCTGATATCTTAGTTGTAATGAACAAGTGGATGAGCAGAAAATGTCTGTGATGTCATTGCAAAGGTGATGATGTGTATTTCATGTGTACGTGTGCACACAGGTATTTGGAGGCAAGAACATAATTTTGCATGTAAGCCTATAATTGATTTATCTAATGCTCTTTAAAAAAATAAATAAAAAACAAATGCCCCTGAAACAGCTAACATGAAAAAGGAGATTGTTCTTGAAGTATGTATTACTCTGATTTCCTCCTCATCCCTGAATCTGATCTGACGCTTTTTATTTCAATTTCTTCTCTAAGGTGGCATGCTGAGTAATGACGACGTAAATTTGCAGTTTGTGTGTAGTGAATGTTTTATAAAAGGTGTTAAATGTAATTAGCTATGGCAGAATACAGTGGGAACTGTAGTGTAAAAATGATATAACTGTCAAATTCATTAAATTCAGTATTATATAAATTAAAGCATAGTTGTACGTAAAATAGGAGTTCAGGCATTTAGTTGCTTAGTTTTGTTTAGTATATCCAGCTGATGTCAAGTAATTATTTCAGCATACAGAGTCATTTGTATCTGTTGTAAACACAGTGAGGTTAGTAGAACTTTAGTTTTGCTCATGGGAATTATGCCTAAGTTGTTGAAAGAAATAAAAATACCTCCTTTCCTTCATAACCCCCCTTTTATTTTCTGGACCTTCACCTTGTGTAAAGTAATGCAACTCCACGGATGCCAAACGTATGTCCTAAGGAAAGAGAGTTGGATCTGAGGAATAAAGCGTTTATGGTACCAGCTTTAGCTGCCTGCTATTACAGGTGTGCTTGGCATCTCTCACTGTCAACAAATTTCTCAAGCTCCATCCTAAGCTGTTTCTTCTCTTCACTAGCACTCTTTCTAAAGCCATACCATCCTGCTGGCCAGAAACCTGTTTCAAGCATCCAATTTCAATTACCATAGTCCTTTGTTCCTATGCCAGTGTTTTCTTTTGGCCATTACTACACTTCTCAGCCTTCACTTTGCCAGCTTTGTTCTTCATGTAAGGAAGAATCTCCTTTCTTCTGGTTACCACTGATGCTCTCCTCTGCCCCTGCAACAACTGGATCTCATCTTACTTGATGTCAGAAATATCAACATTGGTATGATTCTATATTATCTACTGAGCCTGAATATTGTGATTCTATCCTGTGGCTTTTTGAATGACTATGTTTGTTAGTACTATAGGCATACCTGTGAGTGAGATAATCCTGCATGGAC